CTTTCCCTAGCCAAAAAATCCTGGTGATTTTCATTAGAGCCATTTATTTCTCAAAGGCAGCTGAAGACAGTTTGTACCAATGACGCTAAATACCATACTTTGGAGTGTTTATGAGGCCGAGAAGCAAAGAAGCACAGGCAATGAGAGCCCTTTGAACACAACAAGGTTTCTACCTATCGGATCTGAGAACAAAACACGGATACTTTGTGCACCAGCTGTGTAGGTTTACAGTATCTGTTTCTGCCATGAATGCAGCTTAAAAGCAGTGCCACAGGTTCTTCTGTAATGCAGAAGAGAAGTGAGAGGGCAGAAAATAGAAGGGAAAAAGGGATTAAAGTCTGCAGCTGCAAGCAGCCGAGGCCTCCAGAGCATGGCATGAAACCCCATACCTTTTTTTGCCATGTAGGTTCCTTTTTACAGCATGGGGATGGAATATGTTGTATAAAGCATAGTGTAAGAGCATGCATTTCTCCTGGCACTTGCACAAGCTGGTTATTTGCTCTGTGATCTTTGAGAATGCACAGGAAACATTACAGGAAGAGTAAAGAAAATCATATTTTCCCCCCCAGTCTGACATGTACTGTACTATTTCATCACCTCCTCCTGCTTTTGAATTCTCAAGAGAAGGTGGTTAGAAAAATTTCAGTTTTTATTCACAGGCCTAGAGAGAAGAAATATTTACAGGATTAATAGATTCAAGATACATCAACATAAAGAAAAATGCTTCATGTTTTGAGAAGTTAAGGAGAAAACACCTATAAAAACGATGATTTAAAACCTGAAATTCTTTTTCCAAAGGAATATCATTGTCTTGAAGCCAGTCTATTAAAAGGAAGCAAGGGAAATCCTGCTGTCTAACAGGCTGAGGAATTCCAAGCCCAGTTTTATGACCATCAAGATATGGATGCCAATTACATCCGGTGATATTGGACAAGACACTTCACTCTGCTCCCCCAATTCCTTATCTGCCAGCCTGTCATGTTCACGGGTCTCTTATCCTGTCACCTTATGTCACAAATAGCATTTGGAGCACAAACCAATAGGTCAAAGTGGGTCAGTTTATCCTAGAACAGTGTTCAGACATCAAATGTGTGCGTTGTAGGAAGAAATGGGAGAGGAATGGACGGGATTTCAACATTTCTATGCTGGTTCTTAATTTTTATTTGACTCTCCCATGGGTGCATTTAGTCCTTTATTGACACATGATGAAAGTACCACGTAACAGTAAAAACGCCCAGCTGACAGAAATCAAATGCAAACTCCTGTCAGCTGCACTACAGAAACACACTCGAGGGCAGTAAAAGTGGAGGGGGAGGAACGTTTTTCCCTCAAATTTCTTTCTGCCTGAGCGACTCTAGGCCCAACTTGCAAAGATAAAGGGTATAAAAAATCCAGAGGAGTGTCATTTTACACACAGCATTTCTCTCTAATAAGAAAATTCACAGCTTTCTTCCCTTTATTTTTAGCAGCCACCTGGCCCGAGGCAGAAAGAGCAGAGACTGGGATGTGTGTGTATATTCACGGGGGAAATTGTGGAGGAAAACATGCAGGGGTGTCTGCTTTATTTGGAGAGGAGCAAGCCTGGGTTTTACTGATTTTAAATAGATGACTCTTAGCATCAAAGTAGTCGTTGCCTTTAGAAATTCAACTGTCTGTGTCTTATAAGGGTTATAGTGTCTTGTAAGGGATATGCATCATACTTATCACAGCAACTCCCATCATTTTATCATGACTGAGAATCCAGTTTTTCATTAAAGATAAGAAAAGGAATAGGACTGTAGCTGCAAAGGAAGACCTGAAAAACCTGACTGGAGGATGAACAAGCAACTCAAAAGCCTGAAGGAGCCCCAAGTGTGTTATTAACTTTGGATAGGCTGCAAAATGTGAATTATTCTCTTTTAACCATGCAGTGCATGCAGAGCAGATCAGCACATTTTCATGCCAAGGATATTACAGAAAAGGTCTGGGCCCAATCAAAAACATCATGAGAGCACAGGAAGCCAGGACATTGAAATGCAAAAGACTGACCTTCTTTGGTGGCAAGACGTGAGGAAGCTTCTGTGTGGGATGGAGTATTGTAGACCAGCAGTGAGCTACCTGTAATGAAAAGGAGTTATTGCAGTTTGAACGCACTCTGCCAGTGGGGAACCATGCAGGCAGGTAGAAAATGCTATCACTGGGATCTAAAGACCAAATTTTTCAGACAATTAAGCACACATTTGCTATGTTGGATATGAAATTCTTTTCAAGGCTTGGTAGCCGTGTGTCACACATGTGCTACTTTCTCCACTTGCAAATCAAAATAAAGAGATTTGCCTCCTTTGCTGGGCGCCTTGATGTCCTCTATTGAAAAATGGTATTAAAGGTTGAGGTTGAATGATGCCCTTACACAGGTACAATATCTGTCACAGCAGAGCCTCTAGAAATCACTATGGCACAGATTGTATTACAGGATAATGAAGAAGCTTTTCTCTCTCTGGCTGTGATAGAGGAATTTCCCGTTTGCGTTTTCCCACTTTAGGAGTGCCATGAATTGCACTGTCAGGATCTGAACATTTTTAGAGCATCACATGCTTGATGCTGGGCCAACAGCTGCAAAAATCTCTCTGGTATCCCAGCATCTCCCATGCTTTGTGGAGTTTGAAGGCAGCTTTCTGGGTTTTGAGCATCCTTTCCATCCAGCCCCACTTGAAACAAAACTGTTCAGAGGAGCATAGAATAGGACCTGTTGGAAGGGTCATTGTTTTGCACAATTTCTGGTGGAAATGTGCCTTTCTAAGCATTTTACTTTGGTTCTCCTGCCAACACTTCTGGAGATGGAGGAAGAGGCCCTGCGAGCTGTTGGAAGCCAGCATGTAATAGACATTTCATGGTTGTCTAGTTATATGCGTTTACTCTGCATAATCTTCTAGGCTCACCTTTCCTACAGCTCTTTGACAATGTTTCTGCTGCATCAGACGGTGCCATTCCTAACAGGGCTGAGGGACACTCTCTTTAGGGACTGATGATATGATCTGGAGCAGGGCAGAGTTGCTTTTACAGACCCTTTCTGCTATTCATATCTGCACAGCCCTCTGTTCACTGAGATCCTGTCCCATTTAAGGTACTTGGTCCTAAGCAATGCACAGCAAACACTCTAGACTTCTATATATGCTGTGCTGCCCTGAGCATCCCCAAATTCTTTGGCAGGGCTAAGAATACCTCTTTTGCAGGTACTATAATACAAACGGATTAGGATCTTGTGACTAAACCGTGCAGTCTCCACATTCCTCTAATCCCCATGATCCCAAATAGCAGTGACCTCACTTGCCCCTCAGTAGTACTCACAGTGTGTCTCACTTTCCTGTGAGAGCAGAGGATTAGGCAGTTCACTGCCAGAAGCAACAGCCATTGCAGGTGCTGGATCTCATTGGCCCTGTGTTCCTATACATTTCTCTTCTTCCCCAAATGCAAACAGAGCCAAGACATGCACAAGCCAGCGTGTACACAGCAGTAAAAGGTGCTGGAAAACAAAGCCTACTCAAAGGGAGTGGAGAATGGATGCAAAACAGGAGATGTTTCAGAAGACCAGGATGGATAACATGGTAACCCAGGAGGGAAATAGCTCAGAGGGATCCCATGGGCACCGTGACTGTGAAGGCTGCAGATAGCCAAAATTATTGGCTTAAATATTTAGAGATTCACTGGTCTTTTGCTGCTGCTAGAGGAACAGCTACAGCTTTGTCCACTTAAAGCATGTTTTCATCAGATGGGTTCTGGTTTGGGCATTTCTTCCTGGAATATCTGTGGGGAAACTTCTGCCCACCACTCTCTCCTTCTCTCCTCCTGAATGCAACGCCCAGCCCTGCTTGCCCCTGCCAGACAGGGAAGTGCTGGGGAACTCAGAAAGGAGTTTTCTATGACTACATAGGCTGCAAATGCCTGGTTGCACTGCCTGGCTGAGGAGGGGGTGGGGTGATGAATAGCGCTGAACAAGCCTGTATGATCAACCTATAGCTACTTTACGCTAAAAAATGCAGCCCAAGCCACTGGAAAGGGCCAGCGCCTCCCCCAGTTTAATTGCTAAAAGTTCTCACCTTTGCCCGACAGTCTGAGGTTTCTGGTGGGAACACCACAGAAAAGGAAATGTGTTTCCTATTAAGGGGCTTCAATGGAGGAGGAAAAGAGAGAAAGCCAGAGACACAGATCAGGACAGGGAGAAGCAGACAGACAGACAGACAGACAGAGGCCAGGCTGCTCCCTCCCTTACTCGTTCCTGGGCAAAACTTTAGCTTTCTTATTCCCCCTACCCCTCACTGGGTGAGAGACATCTTAGATTCAATCAGCTCTTTCTGGAAACACTGCTATTATTAATAAAGTGCAGGGCTATTTTCCTATAATTAATATTAAACATGTCATCTTATGGTTCCCTCCAGCTTTTCCTTTCTTCTTTTATTTTCCTTGCATTCATTAAAGAGGAAGATGGAAAAGGACTGAAAAACAGAGCAGAAGAGGTTTTTTTCCCCATAAAGCCGTCTTTTTCACAGGGCAGCTCATCCTTTTGAGATGCAGCAACATCTTGGTTTCACAGTCATGAAGTCTATTTAATCTGGAAGTCTTTTTTATTCTTCCGAAGGCCACAGTGGCCTTCCCTCCACATGTCCTGGTAGAATCAGGGTTCTGCTGCATTTAGCAGTATAGTTTTGCTTGGCATTAACGTATGGCTCGAGACCACAGAGCAGTTTTCTGCTTCTCACCGCAGTCTCATTCTTTCCCCTTTAGGCTCTTCTCATTTGTACACAGCACACATCACCGACTCCCCATCAACAGGGGGGAAAAGGGACGGGAGGTGACAGTTTGGGGTCCTTTTGGTGTTCATCCCAAACATCGTATGAAAACATTCAGCTCTCCCACTGAAGTTTTGCCTGAAGACTAAAGGTGCTGTGATATGAGTTTGGTTTAGGGTTAACTGTATTAAATAGCTCACCTGAACCTTCTATCTCCAAAACCAAGGTTGAGCTTTTGTTGAGGTCTTGCAGATGTTACCAGTTTATTTTTTCAATCTGGACTCAGATGTGTCAAAATAATGGATTTCATGGGCAGTTTTAAGAATGCTTTCACCCTGCTCAGGAGTGTAAAATGTTGAAAACCGTCTAAGGAAGCTGATTTCCAGGGGGTCTTGTCTGGCAAGCGAAGAAGTGCAGAAAGTTCACATCAGCTTTGTTTCATGGAAGACAAACACTGAAGCTGAGGATTCACTAGTCATCACATATCCATCTTAATGTCCTGAGAGGACAAACACCTTTCCAAAGAGACTACAAGCAGACGTAATGTAGCCTATAGATCTTCAGTTCCCAAAAATCCTCCTGTGTTTTGTTGCCATCACGTCTTCTCCACCCCAAGCAGAAACAGAGCTGGATGTCTCTGAAACAACCAACCTTACAAAAGGGGAAAATCCATGCAAAAAAGACCATCTCCCCATGGCACTGAGCTCAGAGGCTCCACACTAAACATCCGCTGGAAATCAGTCTGGAAAAACAATGAGCTCCTTTGGAAGGCGTTGCTCCGGGAGGGAGTTATCCAGAAACCAGACTGTCCTTAGGCAGCGCTGGGAACAGCTGCAGGGAAAGGAATGCTCTGCAGAGGCTGCCGGCCTCCACACAGACGGGAGCTTGCTTTAATCAGGACAGCACTCGCACAACGACGTCTTACAACAGCCCCAGGGGCTCAACAGAGAGAAATCTCGAATCGTAAAAGCTGAGGATGGACCGGGATTGGATTCTCCTTTCGTATGCTCCCATGTAAAGCTGGAGTAAGTGATTTGGCTGAATCCAGCAGAGTTGCTGGGGTTTTGAGCTATCCTAAGAGCACAGAAATCACTGTAGGCATTCCCCCGGCAGAACATTGTATTTTTATGATTATTATTCGCCGTGCAGCAGCACTTAAATGCTCCAACTGCATTAGGACTTCATCGTGCTGGGTCTTGAGAGACATCAGACACAATCCCTGTCCCACAGATTTGCCATCTCAGCAAAAGCAACAAGAAATCAGGATGACGAGCTCCATTTTACAGAAAGTAAAACCGAAGCAGAGGAACTGAAGCAAAGGTTTATTCCTCCTAATTTCAGGCATTTAAAGGCAATGTGTGAACGAGGGGCCTACCATCCTGAATTTCAACATGCCCTGTTATTTCTTTTCTATAAACAGAGAGCAGTGTGAGCACACTTCTGATTTAGGGACTTCAGGTAGCTAAAGGTAGAGGAGGAATTTGCTCCTGAACAAATGGACAGCAGCAAATGGTAAAGGTGGCAACTGAATCCAGATCTTCAGGCTGATGTCATGGGAGCAAGTATGCAATTCCTCTGATATGGTCTTTGAACACCCCAAGTAATGGGATCCCTATCACTGGAGATGCTGTCTGGAGCTAAAGCAACAGAAGAATTCAACTCTTCTGCCAACCTTTTCAAACCCAGCCTGGTTCTTTACTTCAAAAACCATACAATTCCTTCATCTCTTTCTGTCAATTCTCAAGTCTTATCAATGAGGCAATTCAAGCGTCTCACTTGAGTATTTATCTTGTGGGAATTTAAAAACCTTTCCGGTTACAAAGCGTCTGATTTGCCCAGCCGAAGTCAGGAGGTTTGGCCAAAGCAACACTGACTTCACCAAATTTCCCATAGAAGAGTGTAATTCTGTATGCAAACCTCGGTTAGAAAGCTCTTCTGTGTCTGCAGTAATCCCAAACTGTTCTGTGAAGCAGCAGCTCCTTGCTGATGAAACAGGACGAAATTTGCGAATTCTTTTGGATGGGAAGTGGCTTCATTGTGAAGTCACAAGGGCCAAAAAGTGTTCAAATCCAACAATTCAGTTCTTTGTTGTGAATCATTTCTTTGGCTCGACTTCTCAAAGAAAATAAAGGTGGGGCTTACAGAGGCACCCATCTGTGATCTAACTCTTGTCCCACTGTAATCTGTAAAACTCCCACTGGTTTTAGCAGAGACCAGCGCTGAGCAGCTTTGAAGAAACACCCTAAATAAATGCGGTCTCGCTGCTTTATTGCACTGGCCAGATGGAGACGTCTTCAGCTGCCTTTACATCACAATTTGATGTCCCAGTGGAGAAAATAGACTTTTTTTCTTTCTCTCCCTGCCCTCCCACCTTGCTTTATGGCACCTTTTCCAGTCCTCGAGCAATTATACTCCTATAAAAGCTGTTTCACTTGAAAAAATACTGGAGCATGTGGGATTTAGTTCCAGTTTTTGAGTACTGGGTCATTTGCACAGTGTCTGCTTCAGTGCACTTACATTTGTGGAATTGACCTTGTATTTTTTCCTCTTTCTGAGAAATCTGGGCCTCCAGGAACATAGAAAATCTCCAGCTTTGTCCAGTTGTGGGCCCTATTTTGAAGCAGTCCTTACCAGAAGGGTAGGAAGGGAGGCCACAGCCCTCGAACTGCAAAGTTATGGAATAATTTGCCCATGACCCATCCGTTAATGTTTGGTTTAATCTCCACAGCAAATTTGTGTATTTTTATCATATCACCACAGAAGTTTTTGTTATCTGTAAGAGTATCTAATCTTCTTCAGAGTCAGTTCTTCACCTCCCTGATAGCACCACCAACTCCATCTAAGTTAAAAATAACTTTCCAACCCAATTTTATTTGTCTCCTCCTCGTTTGCTCTCTCTGCTTGCCTTTCTCTGTTCTTCTCCCTACACCCTTGCTGCTATTCTTCCTGCAAGAAGAGCCCTACAGGTTTAATTTACCCTCTCATCCTGGGCTGAGCCAGGGCAATACTTACTTTCCCTGAGGTAACTGAGGTGAGACAACAGAACTTCTGTGTTGTAGAGGGAGGTGGTTCGGAGGAAATCATCCTTGTTCATTTTGCAGAGCTCTTTGCCGTCCATGTTCTGGAAGATGGTGGTGTCGATCTCCATTAATCCATACTCTTTTATAGCCCATTCCAGCCACTGGCGCACGTGTTCCTGGGTCCATAGGGTGGGATCTGGGAGGAAAGCACAAAGGTTGGTAACATCATATGTAAACCTCAAATCTAGAACTCACTGTAGCCCAGGCAAAGCATTAACCATTGTTTCCACAACCAAATGGATTTAATTTACTGATGCCAGTGCACTTTTTGCCAAGATGAACATATACTGTGCTATAACAGTGCTCAGAGCACAAAAATGCATCACGTTGACCCTCTAGCCGGGTATATTCCCGTAATTCTCCCAGCTGAATCTTATACCTGTGCTTGGGAACAGTATTAGTGACATTTGATGGTGACTTTTCTTCCTCTGGAAAATGCTTCCAAAAGCAGACTCATCCCTTTGAAAGGGTATGCTTGTCACAGCTTGGGTTCTGCACTGCTATAGAATTACATCAGTGCTGTATAAGTCACACCAGCGCATTACAGAGTCCCGACAGATGGCATTGTAAAGTCTGAAGATGGTGGTATTTACGGTCAGCAAAGGGACTCTGAAAAAAATTATTACTATTGCTTAAACAGAAGGGTTTGCCATGCACCTCTGAGTCACATTTGCTCACCCCGCTGACAAGAACACAATTCTACCTCTGCTAGCCCTGTAAAACCAGGACAGCCATTGGAGGGCAATGTGGGTTTTATACTGCCCCATGCATCATTATCGACTGTCAGCAGAGCTCCAGCTGTGGGAGCTTTATTACTGGCGATGACGTAGGAGAGAGATTGAACCCGGCTGGAGCTTCAGACCCCATGGTGTTGGGTTGCTGCATCAGTAGTTAAAAAAAGAAATCATCCTTTGAGTTTCGAAAAGAGCATTAGATCAGAAAGCCCCAGCAAGACTTTGTGCCACAATACCAATTTTACAGAGTCCTTTTCAGAGCATATCTGCATTTTCAGATGTTTCCTGTGCTGCTTCTCCCCATGCATCCCATTTCAAAATTGAAGCTGGAGAGGATTGCCTAGTCAAGCTTCAACTTCAGAGCTGTTTGATCTGTCCCTCACTGCTGGTCCGTTCCTCTAAGATAAACCTCAAATGAAACAAACCTCAAATCCTCAAGAGCACGGAGCCATCACACAGCTGGCAGGTTGTGCTCTGGGGAGGGACAAGAAATGCCATAGCATGAAATGGAAAAGAACAAGGGGTATTGAAATTATACCTGGGACATTTCCTCACTGGATTTCTACTAAAACCAGGTTGCTTAAAGCTGAATTTTAAACAAGGAACTTGCAACTCCATAGCTTTGCAAGTCTGCTTTGGGAAAGAAAGATGGATTTCCTTTAAATTTAGGCAATAGACAAGTTAAATTCTGCTTTCTAAGCACTGGCAAAAGGCTGCAAATTTCACAATGCAAGTATTCAAGGGAGGATTTCTCTTTGTTTTTTTAATTGAAAGAGTTGTTTGTCTTGAGTTTTGAAAAAACCCCAGCATTTAGAGGCCATAGTGAATTTGTGGTCTCCCTTTAAACAAACACTTTTGAATTTCAGATATTCATTCAGCCTATTTATCACTCCAAAAGACATTGAATGGTTTCTGAAAAACTGCTGCCTTGATACTCCTTCGAGTTCATGGCTTAGAGTTCATTATTATTACTGTTGCAAGCCTAATGTGACATTATTCTTGCCTATCTTCACCCTAATGCGCTATAAATCTTTACTCTGGATTATATTAAAATTTCCAAATGCCTTTCTTGGCTGAATTTGCCTTCATATCCTGCAGCCAGAGATCTGGGATGATGTTCATTATTGTCTTCCAAAGTCTGTTAAATCACTGCTATTTCACAAGTATCTCAAAGTTTTGATTTGTGGATGCTCATGAGAGGGTGGGGGAAAGTCCTTTTTTCCACTTTCCTTCAAAGAGGAGATTTCGAACCTTCTCTTCCACTGAGAGCACTCAAAGTCACTTCCCCTATTTCAACCACAGCACTAAACTTTAGCCCAACCTTGATCTTTTTAAATATGGACAAATAGCATGGTGAAGATTAGGATGAATTTTCCTTCTTGCCTATCTTTAGCCCCCATTATAATGAGAAGCTGGTGTCAGCTACCACCTTTCTGGGCAGTATTGAAGCTGAAAACATGTCTGGTCCTGTCACCAGTTAGGTTATTCCATCTCTCAAAGCAGATCCTAACAAGGGCTTAAACGGTACCTTGAGATTTGCTGTCAATCCTTTTATTGGCTTCCCTTCACTACATTCAGTTCAAGCTTTTCCTTTTCATCCTAAATAGCAAACAAATGCTTGGGAATTGTCATCTGTTCATGGTCAAGCCACGTTCAGAAAACAGAGCTAAATTCCACGAGTACATTTCTTTCTGCCAACAGTTCATTGGCTTGAATCAGCTACAACCCTTGGCAAAACCCTCACGACACCGGGTGAAAAGATGCACCCCTTGAAATCAGTGGAAGTTTTGGTACATAAATTGGGCCAGGACTTGGCTTGTAATATGTCCTGGAAAGTTTCCTGTTTGTATCTTTGGTGTTTATAAACATTGCAGGGAAAAGACGACTTCTTCCAGGTTCAGGCTTCACCAGTTGCCTGCCACAGCGGCTCTCATCCTTGGCTGTCCACATGTATCTGCTGCATCCTGCCAATTCCAGACAGCAGATGTGGAGCTCAAATCCAAACACAGAACTGGACAGGAATGTTTCTGTGTAACGGTTTTTGGAAGGGTAATGTAGTTTCTGCAAAATATGATTTTTCTGGTTTTCGACTTCGAACAAACAAATGAAAACAAAAGAGCTCATTTTGAATCAATATAACATGAAAGTGCATCTGGGCCCTGCAGAGCATCGTGAGAGTTATAATTTGGGTCCACTTCATGCTTATTCTTGCCTATGAACTGCACTCTTTGATCACACCACGCATGTCCCAGGAAGCACTGCAGATTCTCCTCTAACACTTGAAAGGAGAAGGATTTGGTTCAATACACTGAAACAACACTTCATTCCAGGAAAAAAAGACAGGAAAAAGAAAGACAAACAAAAAGCAGCACTAATAATCCACTTCTTATTCTTATTAAAGGTAGAACATATATTGGCACATGGGAAATTCCCACTAGCCTGAAACTCTGATCTTTTCCTTACTTTTTACATGGTTTGTAAGGAAGATAATTCCTCAGAGAGTGCATAAGCAAGGTTTATCTGTTCAGCTGGATATTTAAGGCAGACCAAGGAAAGAGTTGGATGGTGTGGTACCTGCTGGGACGATGACTCTCCTCTCGTTGGTGGTCATGTTGGGAGGAGGCCCGTTCTTCTCATCCATGTAGGTGCTGTAACTCATGGGGTTGGACTCTGTCCCTGCTCCGACGAGTTTGCTGCATTTGTTCACACTACAGTCTACAGGGGACTCCCTGAAATGTGAAAGGAAACAGATGACTTATTATTGTGCACCTTTTAGCCCTGCTGTAGCAGAAGGAGGGTTGGATTACTGAAATGGCAAGTGTCCCGAAGGTGACAAGATAAGGGGAGTTTCTTTGCGTGTGGGAATGGCTGTGTCACATGAATGTCACAAGGCGATCTGTGAATCACAAGTCTAATGGAGGGGATCTCTGAAAACGAAACCAGTTGGAGGAAAGAGAGTTGGAGGTGCAAATTAGGACTCTCAGGCAAACGCAATGGTAGCTGTAAGGTCGCACTCAATGCCTCTGAAATATCAAAACTCGTGAACCAGATAAAAAACAAGTGCCTGTCACATTGGTCTATCGGTTACACCCTCTGCACCCTTTATTGCTCAGCTCTATTTTAGCAGTCCTTCAGATACAGCTTGGTGCTCCTGAGAGCTCTTGTTGGACTGTTTCACTCTTGTACTTTGTTAAATCCAACCTCATCTTTCTGTTACAGGGGAGTCTATCAGTTGGCTGCCCTTCTCACCTCATGACCTAAGGCATTCCTATAGAGTTAATCAGAAATACAGATACGCCCCACTCATTTCATTAACAAAGAACACAAAAGATCCACACTAAGATGACAGAACAGTCCCAGGAAAATACTGCAATATTAGCATGGTATCTAAAGAGGCTTATTTCTATAGGTCTGAATGTAACTGATCTTGTCTTTTCTTAACAGTGAAACAGTCCCAGGGTTGTCTACTACTTGGAGAGAAGATTTAGAAATCTTCGGTGCCTTAGGCATGAGTCAAGAACTTCAGACCACAGAAACTGTGTGTGAAAAAGGCTCTGGCTCCAGTTTAACTTCTGAGGCGATGGAGTGATGAGGAGGGAACATTTAGCAACTCAGGTGGCACTGTGCTAAGACCTGGACTACATGCAGCCCCTTGGCAAGCAATAGGCTTCCTCTGTCCTGCTCTGGGAGAATTATGAGCCTCCAAACCACACATAGGGAGCACAGACTTTGGTTTTCCCCAGCTGCAGTAGTAACTCAGGCTTTTAGCTCTAGAGGTGACCGAAAATACCAGTCTGCAGCCTGCCACATGCACACTGCACATCCCAGCTCTGACAGATGGACCAGGGATGGGCAGTGTTGTTTTCCTCACCTTTACAAGGGTGCATTTTTGTGAAATCCCTATGCAAAGCGAGCATGGAGCCCATATCCATGCAGTTTAGTCCAGTGCTTTCATGGCACAGCTGCCCTACTTCCCTGCCAGAAACAAAGCGGCCTGGGAGGAAACCATCCGTCGAAGGGTAAGAGCTACAACAGTGCACCAAATCCCACCCTCTGAGTTCAGCTGGCAGGACTTCCCAGTGTGGACACTAAACAAATTTGCTTCTTAATCTGAAAAGGGATGGGGGGAGGGAGAAATTACCGAAATTCAGTTATCATGGCTGGGAGATAAATGCTCCACCGAGATATTCTAAGGCAGATGGTAATTTTTTCCTCATGTCTTACTGAGGGAATGTTGCTTGAAAATGGAAATAAGATGTATAACTTACACATGTTCGAATTTAAGGTTTTACTATTTCGCCTACTGTTTTTCCAGGCAGGGACCCAAAATCCGCCTTCAGAGAGGGAAACTGCTGAAGGTTTAATGTCCCCGTGGCAGTCAGAGGAGAGTCTGAGCAACTGCAGGGACACAGGGGTTTTCACAGGGAGCGCGATCATTTCTAACTTTCTGTTGAAATACTTTGTGTCAGGTGTTAAATGCTGCCTGTACTGGCAGAGAAAAAGCCCTGAAGCAGCACAAAGGATCTTATTCTCTCCCGAGGTACAGGCTGTCCTGAGAAGACTCGGCGAAACGGCGAGAGCATCCGTGCTTCAGGGTGTCAGACTCCGTTCAGTGCTCACTGCCCTGCCTGGAGGTACTGACTTTAACTGGTGTGGGCAGCCCAGTCGTGTGACAGACCCAAACACAAGTATGGATTCCCACTGCCTTTGGGTTGAACTTCTCCTTCCTGCAGACACAGCAGCAACATTTTCTTTGAGTTGCCTGCAGCCAGCACCTCCCAGGTGTTAGTGCTGGTAAAACAACCTGCTGCCTGGTGTCCTTCTAAAGGGTTCACTCTCAACCCTCTCAGCTGAGATAGGGGATTTATGATAGAATAGTTACATACATAGTATTCATAGAATAGGATATATCCAGACTCTCAGATAAGTACATCTTCTAAAAAGCTTATCTGCTAGGAGCATACGTGCTTTCTACTGGCATGAAATGACACATGTGAAAACACCACGGGGCCCTTGGCTGTCTCTGCTCTCTCTGCACATCCACATGACCGACACAGCAAAGTAAAAATAACACCAACACTGGAAGATATCTCCTCGGTGGTTTTATGAGGATTTTTGCCTTTGCAGACTCTATTCTTGGCAGTTAGGGCCCTGCCTATCCTCTGCCTTGCTCCACGGCTCAGCAGCCAAAACCAGACAACCAAGTAGAGGAGGTTGACATCTGAAAAGAAGTTTAAGGGACTGAGGTGTCCTTACAACCACTGATTCACCACTGTGGGAAGAGAAGCTGCCCTGTTAATCTTATGGGACATGTGAAATGTGCTTCGTGTACCTGACAGGGTTGTGTCTGTGTAGATGCCTTCTGAGGACGTTTTCAGGATGGTTGGATCCAGAGCTACCTGATCTGATAGCACAAGCACAGACATAGCTGGGAATAGCATTGCCAAAACTTAATTGGGCAGCTGACAGAATTGTCATTCCCTTAAGAAAAATATTGTGAAATCTTTAATGACAGCAAGCAGGAAAATCCTTACTTCTGTGTCTTCTGTAACCCAGCATTTCCTACCAGATCCAATTTACTGGAAAATGAGACAGCACTACCAGATTGAATCATCTTTGGACTGTCCCAGCCCAAGATGAGGGATTTTGCCATATCCCAGCAGAAGGTAGGCATAGAGCAACACAAAGAAGAATTCAGTGTGGGGAACAACTACAGCATCAAATGAGAACGGGGAGCTGCGAGCCATGAATAGTGTATTCATCGAGTACAGATCCTTTCTTAGTTCATGCGTTACCCACACGCAGACGGAGATTCATATAAAAATTTCCTCATTATTTGAAACAGTTTGTGCGAGGGGGTTTCAGATGCCAGCTTAATCCTTGACTTTTCTCAGAGAATTCAGACCTTCAAGTAGCTGGACTTGCTCAGGTTCTGGGCAGAAAATGTTGTAGATCTGCTAAGGTAAATGGATATAGGCTGCTTTCACAACATCTCCTAAGTATATTCACTGAGGCCAAGGAATATGGAGCAGTTTTCATGCCCACTGTCCGTCCAAAGACTCTTCGTTCCAGCAGCTCCGGTAGCAGTCTCTGGGGATGCCAAGAGCTCGGTGTTTTGGGAAAGTTTATGCTAGACTGGCCAAAAAGGACAAGCAGCTCGCCTGGCATTGACTAATAAATCCTCTGTACAGCTTCAGCCTGTGCTCCAGATACCTGGAAATAAAGCAGTGACTGTCTCTGGGCCTCTGTCTAGGAATCACCTTTGGCTTTCATTCGAAAGGGCAAAAGAAGGGATTTCAGTGATTTCTGAGCCTGACTCAGTGGTGGTCAGAAGAATATTTCCTTCTTCTTTCTAGCCCTTTCTCCTACCCTTTCATTCCTCCTCTCTTCCCATCTATCTTTTTTTATTTGCTGCTTTTTGCTGTAAGTCCCCATTTGGTCGTCTCAGCTTTCATATTCACAGTTGAAATTAGTTTTTAATTATGTTTTTTGTTCAGTGAAGGGAGTAAGAACAGAGATACTGCGATTCTGCTTGCGGATCTTTCTCAGAGGCAGGGAACAGAGCTATCGGGGCAGAATCCCACTAGAGGGCTCACACGCTGCTTAAAGAGACTTTTATTCTTTTACACATCATCGATGGTGCCTTTGTTTTGTTTTGAGAGAATTCTTGTGGCTTAAAACTGCTCTGAGATCCTGAACCTTACCATTACTTTAATATTCTGAAGCAAGAGAGCATCTCCACAGTATTAACTTCATTATTTTAGCTAGGCAAAATTTGTAACGTCAGTTGGAATTACACAGTGAAGTTTGCTCGCATCTATGCACACATCCAGCACATTAGAAAGTCCTCTCACATTTGACTATCATTCAAATTTTATACCATATTTTATGGCCATACACTACATCCAAGTCTGATAATATTTGAAACTGTGACAAAATTTCTCCTATATCTTGTAGTATTACAGAAGTCCCATCTTCTCCTCTAAAACTTTGATCCGCTGCCTAAATATCCCATGTGCACAGTTAGTATGCAGTTATCTGGGAAACTCTTTCCAATTTGGGAGTAAATGAGGAAAACCCAACACGGGGTAGAAAGCTGGGCAGGTTTTCCATGTTGTTCAGCACTTGGAGGGAAAAGAGACTTGGAGAGGGTCTTTGAAGACCCTGCTGAGGATGTAACCAACTCATCACACCACAGTTCCCAGCAGTCAGACCTGTGTCTGGTTGCTAAGAAAAAGAAGAAAACCTGGACACAGTCCCTTACCATCATCCAGCTCCCTCCATTGTAGGTTTCCTACAGCTTTATCACTCCCTAGTGTACATAAACCACTCTCTGGACAAGCAGAAAACGCCAGCACTTCAAGTACAGGTGAAATGCAGAATAAAGCTCCTCCCTCTCATAAGCCAGCTGGAACTCGGTGAGAGGGGGTGCTTGAAAGACAAGAGAAGGAGAGGCACAGAGAGAGGGAGGGCGAATGGGTTTTGTTGTTCAGTTATTTAGTTCAGGTTAATCTGTATTGAGATCGGCGTTTGCCGCTCAGATGTGCGTGAGTTTTGCCAGGCGGCTGATGGGCAGAGGGACAAGCAGCTGGAGTGGCCCAACCCGTAACAACAAACTGCAATGGACATGGAAAGGGTAAATTTTTAGCCATGAGGAAAGGATGGATAAGTCAGACGAATGTTCTCATTTCTTGGGTGGATTGGAGCCCTTGTGCTATCAAAATGCAAGGCTGAAAGCTTTTTCAGTGCTTAGTTCTGACATTCAGAGCAGTATTTTCTTTTCTTCTGGTGAGTTGGGAAGTTGTTACCCCTTTTTCAGAGAGATTGAGGACACTTAGCTACTGCCTAAGAACCTGGTAGTCTTGAGCAAGCCCGTAAAGAAGGATTTCCTTTTTGCCCAGAATAAACACACTTCTAGAGGGCCTTTCTCTATGGGTATCAGAGCACTCACAGTTGTTAATGAAGCAGTTTGTCAAAGCAGTATTATTTCCCCTTTTTTCTGAGCAGATGAGGAAATTGTAACACAGAGATCACAACAGAAGAACAGCCCAATACTTTGGTTTCCAAAGACATACGGAACACATAGGATGAGAACATTACCTGCACTTTTGGACATACAAATACCCACACATACAGAATTTATACACAGGGTGCCCTTGGCCCTCCAAAATTTGCTCGAGTGAGACAACCAAGGAGCATAATGTGAGGAAACATTCTCTGCATATTGGTCTGACACTATGGGTGTGAGCAACCGATGTGATGCTACGAAGGGCTTCCTCACACCATCGTAGGACTGTGTTGCCCGTGCCATACATGAAGCTGACTCTTCCACCTCAGTTCTGGTGGCTGCTTCACCTCTTTGGAGGATGGAGAGGGCAGACCTGCACAGCACCACACACAGACCTTGCTCATTCGGTCAGGATCCCACTCTGCATTGAAGATTTTAGTCCAGAAATGATACTAAGATACAACCGGCACAAGATTAAATTCAGTCTACAAATGATCACCGTCAAAGACCAACTGACGCAAAAACCTTTATCTTAAAGTAAAATCAGCATCTACTGTATACTTACGAGGAAAAAAACATGCTGCTGTTTGAAGTCTTCAACACCATCAACTCACTATGCAAGTCTGAAAGTGCAAGGCTGCTTTCTGTTTCAAACTGCACTTTGCTAGGTTCTCAGAAACCAGGAAAATAGGCTGCTACAGAGCCCCTAAACGAACTCTAAAGAAGAAGCACCCTGTATTGTTTAACCGTCTTGTATTAGCATTGCACAAATGCTAGAGGTGTTTGTGACTTTGAAATTAAAATCAAATGAAGAATTAATATGAACTCTAAAACCCAAGGCTAAAAATTAAAATTGTTTTTATTGTATACATTTGAAATAATTGGAAAACTTTACAGCTACAGTTTTTGCCCACTTTAGTGTCATTTTTTCTTAACTTTTGACTTGTAGAAATGTTTTTTAACATAGGCAGTCTGAGCTCTGATAGTAAAACATCTTCAAGCTTTTGAATTTCTCATTGAACAGGGAAATGATCCATCTCCCTGAGCTCTAACTGCAAATGGTGGGGGCAAACCTCCTACCTCTTTGGCTAAAAGCTGTAGAGGATTCATCATAACCCATGTCCTGTTGAGGGTTAACATCACTGCTCAAGTCCACTCCTGAACTCTCTTTTTCACCAGTGGTCACATCTACTCACACAGAAGCTGTGGGCATATGCCTTTTGTTTTATTACACCTCATAGACTGCGATAAGAGAGCTCAGTCTCCTCTTTTTCTCCTCTCTCCAGCAAGCAGCTCTTTAGTTTCATATGGTTGCTTCTGTCATGGCAGAGCACAAATCTGGTTACAGATGCAAAGAGAAGTGCCCTCTGTTCAGTTCAATAAAGCAGCTCTCACTGGTTTCACTCTGGAGCACTGGTATAAACACCGACTGTTACTGCATGACCAACTCCATCTTCAGGAGCCCCTTGAACCACAGCACATTTGTGGGATGCTGAAGGAAGTGATGAAATGTGGAATTTATGACAGTGTTTGCAGCATGAACTCTGTCCTGGCAGTCTCATGCCCCACTCTGTGCAGTGTTCATGGAGACTGGTCAAGATGCATACTGCAGAACTGCAAAAGCAAGATCCTCGTGCCATTAAAAAATGAGTGACACAGGAACTCCAAGGGGAGTGGGATATGATCCACAAGGAGTGGAGTTTGTTGATCTGCAGGACAAGAGCATGAACGAACCATACGTGCTTTGCTTTTACTGAACATTTAGTAGATGTGCAAAGGGTCTGTCCTTACCTTGATCCATTCATGTGGTCATATTCCCTTTTGACGTTGACCCGGACAGGCTGGTTAATCCACTCCTGCTGCGGAGGCAAAGGGTTGATTTTGTGCGGTTGGCCATAGTCAGGGTTCCCTGAGGCTGTCATATCCGCCTTGGGGAGGTGAGTGGCAGCGCCGTACGTGGAGTCAAAGAGGGACTGGTCGTCGCTCACCACCGACAGGGCCTCCTGGGGAGAAAAAAAACCAGCAAGTGCTCAGAGCCATGACTAAACCAGTAACTCCACTCGTATTCTCTCTTTGAGCTGGTGAGCACCTGCAAGGCCCCACAGCTGCCCAGCACTGTCTGAAATTGCCATCTGCCCGGATTGCAGGTTGAATCAGATGCTTTGGGGTCCATTAACCCGTATGCAAAACCAGTGGGTAGCTCTGCTGGCTGCTGGGTTGCTCTGGGTGGGGCAAGAGTTAAGATTAACTCGACTTCTGCAAACAGCAAAGGTGGCTGCTGGCTGCTGTACCACTCTCATTGCATGCTATAAGCAGCTTCATCTGCAATTTTGGATAGTTACCTGCCCACTTGTTGCAACCAGAGAGATGTGTAACATTCCTAGAGTGTCATTTGAAGGTCCATACATCTCCATTCATTTGTGTGGTGTTTATATTTTGAGGTTACTAGTGAAGGAGGAGCAGTCAGTGCAGGTCAGAGTTATGGGTGTTAGTGGTGAGATAAAAAATGCATTACTTGATGCTTTTTGTTTATCTTGTGGGGAATGGAGGCCTGGTGAGTTACCAAACTGTGCATTTCTAGAAATGCTTCAAAACAGGAAATTGTTATCCTTTTTTCTTCCCCTGCTGAAACTCCAAATGTTGACAAAACGTTTTGACTATCAATTTTCCTTTGCTGGTGCGCTTGGGTTTTCTAAATGAAGCATCCCAGGCCCAGCAAGGCTTTGGCACAGCCTTGCCTTATTCCAAGTGCATCTGACAGGACCTGCATGTCCTTCGTGGAGCTAAACTAACCACACATAACACAGCTGCCACTATGGCTGGCAAGGCAGAAAGTGAAGGAGGAACCTCCCAAAGTAAAAGCACAAACTGCTTTAATGGGAGTTAATGGGGCAGACCTCCAAAATAAAGACCTCCAACAGACTCATCTACGTTGCTGGAATCCTGTGATTACATGAGAATCTAAGTGCAAATCAGATATTACCAGGCTCACGATATCATCACAAAAATGCCAATAGTTAGAGTCTGCTAAACATGAGAATCCATCCCAGCTTGAAGTTAACCCACTTTGAGAGTCAATAGTTAGAGTCTGCTAAACATGAGAATCCGTCCCAGCTTGAAGTTAACCCACTTTGAGAGACAGGTCGGTCCTCTGCATTTATGAATATCAGCACTTTTCTATCTGTGATCTCGGCTCACATAACAAACCCAAATCAGTCTGAATAGCCTAGAATTTAAGTGGGTCTGACTAAGCTTGAATTCGGAGGAAGCCTCAAACATCTGCAGAAGTCCTGCTTTTCAGTATTTGCTGTAAAAGTTTTATGAGCAACCTCTCCCACTGATCAGCTACAGCTACAGCTTTTAAACTGGTTTTGTGAAGGCAAGATGTCAGGCAGGGCTTCCTAAATAACACAGCTTCTCTAAGTCTCTGCTTCCTCTCAGCACAGAAAATGTGGGGTTCCCTACATTATGGCATGAGGTGGTAGGTGAACCCCAAGTACCTGGGGTGCTGGACTGGCCTACAACTCTCTAGACTCAGTCTCCACATGTTACTGGTCAGAAGCGAGGAAACCATGAGCATCACTGCAAATTCGTGAAGTAAAATCTTTAAATGTTTGGTTTTGGAGATTACCAGTCTAAAAACATACACAAAGTGGAGTTTTTTTTAGATAAACAATACCTGGGAAAACACTTTTTCTACTGAAAGCCATTTTTCTTCTGAAGAGAGACTCTGATGGAGAAAATTGGAAAGCGTGGATCTTTCTATCACTTTGGCCGTCAAAAAACACAACCCCCGCCCCCCCAAAGAACAGCTCTGGCCTAGGATCAATGATCAGGGCTGCATCCAAGTACAACTATCTTTACATAGACAGGCAAGTACACCTCTTCTCTGATATTCAGAGTATCTGATGGAGAAGCCTGCTTCCTCAGATAAGGATCTTCCTTGAAAGACAAAGCAGCTGCTGGCCCTGCCTACAGTTAATGGGGGTAATGATAACCTCACAGGCAGCAGTTGCGCCAAAAAACTCTGTGTTTCGCTGCTTGAATGAGTACAGACAGCAAACTCGACCGTCTTTAAAACTGTTGCACACAGGAATAGAAATTCAAATGCGATGGCTGCCATCATGGCAGGCCCAAGAAGTTACTCAACCAGGAATCGTCTGAGCTAAACCCTGAGTTAGTTACAGCCACAAAATCTACAGACAGGGCTCTGAGGGAACTGAAGACACACACAGAGCAGATCTGGCAGAGATAGCGGCTTCTAACACCTGCTTATGATACGGTCGTGCATGCAAATAGCAAACAAGCATTGCTGATTGCATGCAAGGGAAGTTGGGTGGCATGGGGCCAGCTCCGGCTGCAATCGGCTTCTCCGTGGTGTGTGCAGCTTAAGAGAAAACCAGAGGGGTGGCAAGAAACAGGTAGCAGGGTATGGGGAGCACTCAGATAAAATCCCAACAGTGAGGACTACCTGGGACTTGGTTTAACTCTGGCTATGGATCCAGATGGGGAACGTGTAACGCCTTCCTTGTACTGACTATCATGGGCTCTGCTTGGCCAGGTTCAGTTCTGAAGGACTACACTGGTCAGGAAGTGTTTGGCTTCAGTTCTGGATGAGGAAGAGATCAACAGTTAAATTGCTGTCCCCTAGAATTGAGGGTTACTTAGCATTTGGAGACAGGAAACCGAGAAAACACGTTAAAGGTGCTACCTTAACCTAACCAGAGGGGTCACAGCTCACCAGGGCTCCCCCCACGCTGTTGCCTCCCGCACTGTGTCCTTGAGCTGGCCAGACTGAGCCTGAGACAGGGGTCTTGTGTGTATTATTCTGGTGTATATGTTACATTATATTGCCGCTGGGAATAGGCTAGCTTCAGTTTTTCCAGTTTTTAATCACATTCCTGGCATAAATGTGGCAAGTCCCGTCTAGGGCAGCTTGCGGCGCAGCGATAGGCAAGTTCAACAAGGCTCCCATTGCTGCGACTGCTTTGCACAGAGCTGGCACACACTTCTGGATCCCTTAGACATGAATATATGATCTGGCTACTGTTAATAACAATTTATAGTTGTAAGAGGCTGAATTTGCAGTTTTTCCTATTTTCAGACAAGCCATGTAGACCCAGGTCGAAGTGCTTCAGCAAAGTGAGGTACACTGTGATTTTGTCCCTGCGTGCTGCAGGAAAACCAGTCTGGTTTTTTGGTAGGGCTGCCAGTCCAGCAACACTTCAAGCAAGTTATCCCAGAATGGAGATGCCATGCAAGCGTTAGTAAAAGTCTTCCCTTAGTAAATGGATTTTTGAGCCAATATATGAAGGGAATGGGTCTTAGAAACAACGCCTAGGTAAAAATTAGGGGCAGCTGTGCAATGCAGATGTGAAATATCATCATTTACCTTGATGTTCTTCGTTTACAGTGCCTGACACAGCCTTTCTTGCATTGATGACTGCCCCAGAGTATCCTAATGCCCTCGCTAACTTCGGGAGGCTTGCCTTGGACAAGGCCCCTAAAAATGCAGGGTTTTAACATTATTAAGTTCATTGGCAAGAAAAGCTTCCCAGTTCCCTGGGCTCACATCTGGGATGAAAACAAGAGCTGCTGAGGTGCCAGCTTTCATCCCAGGTATGACCCAGCCTCTACAGTAACGGCTCTTCCCAGGTGCACACAATGCGTTTACACTGAATATTGCCTCTGAGCTCTTCACATTCACTTTTCTGGCCATAACCACATTTAAAAGGTATTGCTAAAGATCAAAGGTTCATCCTCCTCCACAAAGCCTGCCTTACAAGAGGAAAAAATGCTGAGTACTTGAACCATCACGCGATACATGGAAGGATTATTTCCACCTCTAGAGGGGTGGCTTTTTTCTTTTTCTTTTTGCAAGAATATATCTTTGGCACTCTTATTCCTGCGCGAAAATGACTCGTGAAATGTTGTTGTTACTAACACAGATCCACTGCCTGAAGTGCACAGATGTAGGATGCAAAGCACTGAAGTACGAGGTACCAGCTTGAGGTTAGCACAGAGGCTCCATCCCTCGAACAGAAATGGCTTTGGCACCGCAGTTTTACAAGTCAGCACTTCTGCTGCCAACATCTCCTGCACGATAACATCAGACCTACAAGAAAATGAGTCAAATATAATATGTATAAAGGAGCAGAGTGTCAGGGCAGCAAATTTGGATGGATTGGGCACTGAATTAGGAGGTGGGAAGGCAGAATATTATTAGTTTTGCTCCCTTCAGTCCCGTGTTGCCCTGATCCATGCACGCTGTAAGCTCAGAGGGGCACAGAGCCTCATCCAGTGCTGTTACTGGAAAACAAACAGGACTATTCTGGGTAATTCAAAGCAAGGCCTGGGCTGCAATCCCATACTTAGATATATCCAATCTTTGCACTACACCTGACCTAAACAGACAGAAAGTCCTCTGCAGCTGTTTTTAAAAATTATTAAGAGGCAAGCAGCATATCTTTAAAACTGTCACAGTTTCTGCAGACTTGAGGATTTCTTTGTGTAGCAAGGAGGACTTTCATTGAGTTATTTGAAGATATCCCACAGTGCAATATTTTTGCTGTCACTCTGCGTTAGAGACTTGCTCAAAAACTACAAAGCAGGCCAAGTCCTGGATAAATTGGGACACTTTTCGCTGCCTTTCTTTTGCTTTCCACCCAGAGTACGACATCGGAGCCTAACTGGGCAGCAGCATTTCTTCCCAATTCAAATAAATGGGAAACCACAACTTATTAACTCAGGGTAGAAGGAAACAAAGCAGGAATAAGATAGGCATGAATAGCAGAAACACACTGAATTTAGCCAGGTAAAAAACTTCTCAGAAGGATATATATCTTTTTTTTTAATTTTTACGTTCACTATTTCCATGAAATTTTATATCAAGGCTGCTAAAATGAATGCTTTAGCATTTTGCTATCAAGATCCCCAAAACCTGATGCAAAAAGCAAACGAAAACCACATATATCATATCATATCATATTATATATCA